GGTTATGTGGTGACTATATTATGTGCCAATTCTACCTGTAAAACATCATGAATTATAAATGACATTGCAATGCAGGGTATGTTCAAATGCAAGAAGACCTTCTTAATATAGATTACAATCCATAATCCTTGATCAAACCTAACTGCACAATAGGTACACTTGTGTTGTTTTACTTCTTGGAAATGTTACCATTGTGAAGTAGGAGACACGGTGTTAAGCACAATAGATGGCACGTATTGAATTGTCATTTCTGCTGGAATCTCTAAATCCTCCTCATAGATTCCGTCTTACGTATCACTGGGATATCTTATTCGGTATCTACTACTTCATTCCCTGTTTGTGTGTGAGGAAGGAGACCCACAGAAAGTCTAGGCAATAGCTAGTAAATAACAGAGCTTAAAGTAAGTCTCCAAGTGAGGTTGTGCTAACTGTAAAGACCATGTTATTTCTTTTCAACTAAGCTACCTTGGACTGAGGATGTATCTCTAGATATTAGGGTTGCCTCACATGAGTGATGTTCTGGTTTACACCCCCAGTTCAAGAGCCCCACTCCCAACCAATTCCCAGTCCCTCCAATAGATAATCAATGTTCTGAATAGTGAGACTTAAGAAAGATTATATTTTCTGTAGAAAAGAATTGGGATTTTTTTTTTGGAAAGTGAGGAAGTTCATGATATATATATCCTTTCCAATTTTATGACTTATTTTGTGTTTGGAAATAGTGTTCTATATTTTCCTAAACAGTCCTTCCATTTTTATAGGACTTCTCTACTTTATGTCTGTGCCTATGGCCATCCAGAAGTGGTAACACTCCCAATACAGATGAAATGTGACATTGATCTCTGTGACAGTGACAATGGCATAACTCTGATTAAGGTAGATAGTAGTTGAAGAATGGTTTGATTAGAATTCCTAGAATAAAGATGCATTTTTTTTTCCATTCAATTGTGGTTAGTTGCTGAAACTTGGGTTTTGTTAAACTTGAATATCTTGAACTGATCGTCTCTGTCATGGTGAAATCTGACAGGCTGCACAATCCCAGGAGGAAGAGCGTGCCATGATTCTGCTGCAGTATGGTGCACTTATCCCAATGTGACGGACACCAGTAGCAACACTGCTCTGCACTATGCTATCTACAGTTAGGCCTCATGCACAGCATGAACCTGCTTTCCCATAATGCAATCTTTGAAGCAAAAATCAAGATATAGTTTGATCAATTTTATTTATAATTATTTGACATCCATTTATTTTAACAGTGACACATATAGGGTTTCTTTCAATATTCATCCTTTTTAAAGAAGTTACAGGTTTTTTAAGGTAGCTAAAATAAATATTTGCTAAACAAGAAAAACTTATTGATCAATTTTTTTGTTTATTCAAATAATCTTTTCAGCCATTTTTTTCCTAATTAGAGTAGAATAAGGCCAGAAAGCAAAATTTGCCTTGGAAATAAGCTTCAGTGCCTTCAACTATTCCAACCATTCTTAGATTTGTTCTCTTAATATTATCTCCAATTTCTATAATATCCTGTGCATGGTAACTTAACATCATTTTTTTGTTGATAATGTTACTTTGAAGATTGTAATCTTTGTCTTTCAGGCTTGAGAATATGTCTTCTGCGTGCTCTATTCTTCTCTTTCTAAGATTTCTAATTGACGTTTTGTAGAATCTCTCTCTTTATAGAAATGATATCATTCCACCTTTTTCTCTCTAGTTCATTCCTTACTGATCATTGATCATTTTAAATATAAACTTTCTAAATTCCTTCTCCAACATTTTCTTCTCATTGTCAGTGGGTTCAGTCTTTGAGGTGTTGTGCACTGTATGGTGTGCCTTTCTCCCTTTTTACTATTGTTTGTATATCTACCCATATGCTGGGATGATTACCTCTTCTACTTTTATGCAAGATATTATTTAGTGAGGTTCTTTCCCGTAAGTGCCCTGGTCTGGGCAAACACCCAGGTATTGCTGCTCCTGTACGATGAGTATACTTTGTTGTTCCCAGTATAAGCACCACTTTGAGGGTAGATACTAAACTCCTACAACTGTAATCATGTCAGATCAAAACAATCTACTAGCAAAACTTAGGGTAGGAAAATGTGTAGAATGTGCTTTCCAATGTTCCTTTTGTCCAGGTATCAAATTATAGTAATATTCTGCAATGGGTCAAGAAATTTGTTCTCAAAGATAAATTATTTTTATACTATATAGGCACTGAAAAGGAGAGGAGAGAAATATAGAAAAGGAAAACAGAGAAAGAAAAAAGATGAGAAAGACTAATAGAAAACAAGGTAAAAGAAGGAAAAGATGGGAAGGGGGCATGTGAGGCAGAAGCAGTAATTCAAGCAGGAAAAAGGGAGTAAGAAGAGAAAGTGTAAACCTGAGCTAGAAAAACAAAGATAGAATAATTCCAGGTAGAGATAAAATTCTAGGAGGCTTTCTCTGGTCTATGGTGTATATAGGTTCCTGATATCTTTCTGCTTGATCAGAGCATGTTAGGGTGAGACATTAACTTGTACAATGAATGTGAGTTACTAATTATTAAAGAATTTTTTCAAAAAGTTTTTAATACCCTTAAGATCCTGATGGGAATTCAAGGCACTACATTTTTTTCCTGAAGTGTTCACAAAGAGTATTTAGAGTCATATCATTGGTTTCAACTGCAGACCATATTCCAAGAAGTTCCTGTATTGGATCTTATCCTAGAAGCCATTTACTTGAACAATATTTGACAAATTGACACATAAGGAGAACACCAGTGGGAAACAGATATGCAGTAAATGATGGTTTATTTAGATTTGATAGTCTCTTAGTGTGGGAGACCAACCTTACACGTGACTGAGTCACACTCCCTGGCTGGGTGCGGAGGTGCTCAGTTGCAGAAATGTGGCAGAGCTTTCCCCACCCTTCTTGGGTCCGGTGTCTCGTGCATGGGTGTGTCTTGCTGCAGCCCCATGGGTGAAGCTGTGCTCACCTGTTCCTTTGTAACATAACCCCTTGCCCTGTATAGGATAGAATCTTCCATGGAAGTGCCTTATGTGTGTCCCCTTCTCTTACTGTGCCCTTGGGTGTAGCCTACCCAGGTGTCAGTCAACCTGCTGACAGTGGCCATCATGAAGATAGACTCAGTCCCCTGAAACCTGACCCCTTGCCTCATTTGAATAGCTTCTCCTCAATAAAAGGGGTCAGCACGTGCTCTTGCTTTCTCTCTTTCTGCAGAACCCTTAAGGTCAGAGGAGCCGTCACAGCAACCCCAAAGTAAAAGGTATTTGTGTCTCTTGTGTGGTTCTTTTGCACAGCTCAGTTAGCCTAGTATAACTGGAGTGACCCCTGAGCCTTTTAGTCGTGAGAACAGAAACCCGGCATCTTAGCTCTATGCCAGTTGTATTTGCTGCTGCTCTGTAACAAGGGTCCCCTTTTCTCCAAGTTATCATATCATTTACATCACTGACCTTGAAACCCTTTCTGTCAATCTAATTAAGGACCACCAGAATTCCTCTCAGAGTTCCATTGAAGACTTTTTGATTTCCTTTAATCAAAATCTTTTGACTTCCTCTTACCTCCAGTACAAAGGTACCCTGAAGATTGCTGTAGTATTTTTTCTGATAAAATTTCAGCAATAGCTATTGCTATCAATACCAGTATTAGGTATTGACATATGATAAACCACTTCAAAATCCATTCTTTGAAAGCAATATTTATTTCGTTCATAATCTGCTGTTTAGTCATGGGTCAGTGAGGACAGCCAAATTCTTTTCCTTTTGAAATCATCTGTGTGAATGCAAGCTGGCTTTGGGGACTAGAATCATCTTAAGTCTCCTTACTCCACATGACTGTGTGTTGAAGCTGATTTGGTCTGGTCATACGGAATGGTTGTCATCCAAAGCATGATATAGGAAGTCTCCCTGAGCTCAGAAAAAAAGCCTTATGATATTTGGATTCATATTTGGCAGGGAAATGAAAGAAATTAGCCTGATTGTTTTGTTGAAACTCTTGTTTTAGGATCCATTTGTTGATTAAGGTCTAAATGAGTGATAATGATATTCATAAAATGACTTTAGAAAATAAGGGGAGTGAAAATGGCATTAAGAGGTAAAGGGCTTTCCACTAAGAGGTGATAATCAATTTTTGGATAAGAAAACTCATAAAACAGTCCTAGAAAATTACAACTCCAAGATCAAGTGTGATGGGCTGGGAAAAAGTGAGGCATGACCAGACCAAATCAGCTTCAACACACAGTCATGTGGATTCAAGGACTGCATTGGACTCTTGGACTGCATATGGTTTTTACTTTGCTGATTTTGTGAATAATTTGATGGAAACCATTTTCGGAATATAGATTGCATTATAGTTCCTTTGTTCCTTAACTATCTTAAATTATTAAAAGTTTGAACAAAAATATTCACAACTGAGTATAAGTAAATCTTTGTTATTAGATTTCTGTGAGACTATTCCTAGACTACCATATTCATTTCCAAATTATATTATTTGATTCATGCAGTTAGATGTTCTTTGGAAATTTCAAAATCTCCACAATGTGCATGTCTAGGTATAGAAAATCAATTTCTGAGGAGGAGATTCTATCAATGATAGGATTGAAAATGACATGTGAAAAACTGGAAGAGGAGAAAAAGCATTTGGCAGAAGAAATACTAACCCTCCAATGCTCTAGAGAGGATAATATGGTGGTAGTGGATTCAGTAGAACACCATGAAAGGGCAAGTGAAGAGACAGCAAGAGAGGAAACATTGGAGGAAATGGTACAATTTTTTACAGGTGAATTAATTTATCTGTGATGTGCTTTAGTTCATTCACTGCAAAGTATGTCCTGCATGCCTATGTAGTATGGATTTCCTCTCTTCCATTTAGCAATGTTTTCAAAATTTTTAGAAGAAACACGCCATGTTTGTCCCTTCAAATATTGCAGAGCTCGTCATTATTAGAACTGATTGGATCCTTCAGAATAATAATTTTCACTCAAGAATCATTTGAGGTCCCAGGTGTCGGGGTGAGTGTGAGGGGCAGGGAGTGTGCAAACTGGGGACTGCTCAAAAAACTAGGGAGTCCGCTGAAGAGCTGGAGCTCGAGACTTCTGCCTGGGCTTCGGGAGCGTCTTTGCTGTTGTGGACCAGGGCCGCGCCTTCCTCGACGCTCAGCCTTCTGGGCTTTCTTGTCAGCTGGGCCCAAAGGGAGAGAAAATGATCCAGAGTCTGTTTCTCATAAACTGTTCCGGTGACATATTTCTAGAGAAGCACTGGAAGAGTGTTGTGAGCCAATCTGTCTGTGATTATTTCTTTGAAGCTCAGGAGAAAGCTGCTGATGTTGAAAATGTACCACCTGTCATTTCAACACCTCACCACTACCTCATCAGTATCTACCAAGATAAGCTCTTCTTTGTGTCTGTCATACAGACTGAAGTGCCACCTCTCTTTGTTATTGAGTTCCTACATCGAGTTGCTGACACTTTTCAGGACTACTTTGGTGAGTGTTCGGAGGCTGCAATTAAGGATAATGTGGTCATAGTATATGAGCTCTTGGAAGAAATGTTAGACAACGGATTTCCACTGGCAACAGAGTCTAACATTTTGAAAGAACTGATTAAACCACCAACAATTCTTCGTTCTGTTGTCAGCTCTATTACAGGCAGTAGTAATGTTGGGGACACACTCCCCACTGGGCAGCTGTCCAACATTCCAGGGCACCAGGTAGGAATAGAATACACAAACAATGAAGCCTATTTTGATGTTGTTGAAGAAATAGATGCAATTTTAGGTAAATCAGGATCTACAGTCTTTGCAGAAATTCAAGGAGTCATTGATGCTTGCATTAAGCTATCTGGAATGCCCAATCTCTCTCTCTCTTTCATGAACCCAAGGCTTCTAGATGATGTCAGTTTCCACCCCTGCATCCGATTCAAGTGTTGGGAATCTGAACGAGTTTTGTCATTTATCCCTCCAGATGGAAATTTCCGACTCATATCATATCGTGTCAGCTCACAAAATCTAGTGGCAATACCAGCGTATGTGAAACACAGTATTAGCTTTAAAGAGAACAGTTCTTGTGGCAGATTTGATATAACAATTGGACCAAAGCAAAATATGGGAAAACTATTGAAGGAATTACAGTGACAGTTCACATGCCAAAAGTTGTGCCGAATATGAACCTGACACCAACACAAGGCAGCTATACATTTGATCCAGTCACTAAGGTATTAACATGGGATGTGGGGAAAATCACTCCACAAAAGCTTCCAAGTCTTAAAGGACTGGTAAATTTACAGTCTGGAGCACCCAAGCCAGAAGAGAATCCTAGCCTCAACATACAGTTCAAGATCCAGCAGCTTGCTATTTCAGGCTTAAAAGTAAACCGCTTGGACATGTATGGGGAGAAGTATAAGCCATTTAAAGGAGTCAAGTATGTCACGAAAGCTGGAAAGTTTCAAGTGAGGACATGAGAAGAGGCCAAAATTCCTCAACAAGATCAATTTGTTTTCAAGTGTCATTACAATTTATTATTAGGTACCAAATGGGCGGTAATACATATTCTAGTTAAAGCATTTGTGTTGAGCTATACACCACTAACAAAGTTATTTAGAAATTGATGTAGGGTTCTTAAGGAGCTTTAAGCTAAGGAATCTTTTCTAATGACTTAGCTTATTTTGTATCTTTTCACTTAGGAAGATTATGGAGGTGATTTCTTCCATAGGTGGGTGCCAGCTGGATGCTGCACACTGTAACAGGAAAGGCAGAAGACTACATTGATGACCTCACTTGCTCTCCTAAAGCCAGTGAATTGGTCTTATTCAGCAGGAACTGTCTCAATCAGTGATGTGACATGTCAGGTGCAGCCAAATGTCACACCTCCTGATCTTAGCCATCTCAGTCCTATCTGTCCTAACAGAGGAAATTCCCCCCACCCAAGAAGTTTACAAAAACTGCCTCTTCAAGTGTTTGCCTTATTCAGCTTTTCACTTGTGCCATTAAGCAAGCACTGTAGCAAAAGCCACTTCCACATGGCCCTGGCAGGGAGCACTACTGCTCCATGCTCCATTCACACTGTACTTGGTATTGTATTTTTTATAATAAGATTTTTATGTAAAGCTCAAGATTTTATTATACCTGGGTGCATATTTATTTCCTTATAACATTTGAATGCCCTGAAAAAGGAAGCCATGATAATCAAATTTTGGTTTAATCTATGAAGAGTTACGAAATATATATGAGCTTTAAAAAGTGTATATGTATTAAACTTTTTTGAAACAATGCTTTTCCAACCCATCATTTTAAGGAAGATTCAGTGGGTATTCAATATATCCTCTTAAAGGGAGTGAGATAACATTTGTATTTGTTATGCCTTGTTATTGTTGATTTCACTGTATTTTGGTTTTTAAAGTTTCACTTTCAACTCTTCCAAATGAACAATATTTTTGAAGAATATAAGATCAAGGAAGAACAAAACATTTCTGTAAGTGCTCTGCAGTCAAACATCTTTTTGTTGGGTTGCGGTATGGTAGGCAGCAAAGGACATTCTACACCCAACCCCAGATCAGAAGCCAAGAGTCAGAGGGATGGAGACCAAACTACTAGCTGCATTGCTCACACCTAATACCTAAGGGGCAGATAGGCTTAGACATGCAGCCACAGTAGGTTTCCCAATCCTCCATCTCAGATTGGACACTTACAGAATTTTCAGTGGAAGAAACGACAAGTTAACCGGCATCCCCAAAGCTGGATGCTCCCTGCAGACATGACAGCAGAGCTACATTCACATTATCATAGGCACATACATCTTTCAAAGAGAGATGCAGAACCAAGCCAATGTATTCAATGTGATCCATCCAGTAACACCCACTAGGTAAATCTCTCCTCTCATGAGTGCAATTCCTCACATGGAAGCTTGAGGTCAGGGAAATGAAGTTTCTGCTGCTATTTTTGCCTGGATTTAAATTATAATTGAAATGAAGCCCCTGCCTTTGTATATCCCAATGCATGACTAGAAGCATGATAGATGGTAAAGAGAAATCTGTTTTGTGCTTTGTATTTTGCTATCAGAGATTCATCACATGGACAATTCATTTGTGGATTGATTTGGGAAATTAAGTCTTACCTTGAATAAATAAAATTTTCTTTTATAAGAGAGTGTTCTTATTTTCAGCTTGTGTGTTTCAACGATAGATTTTCTCCCTCAACATCCTATTCTGTGGTTTAAAGTATCTGTGCTTGTTAGATACGGAATAAGTGATTGCTGCTACTAGAGGTCATGATATTAATTTGTATTCCTTTATTTTTATTCACAACATTCCTTTATTTTTATTCACAACATTCACAACATATTATGTATTGGAGTGTTACCCTTTTGTATCGCATACTTGAACATTGTTGACCTACATGACAAAGTTTTGCATATGCATTTTCTTTCAAATAGGTTTATAAATTCTTCATCTTCCATAAGCATGAGATTAGTGACACCCTATAACTCCAGCCTCAGTAAGCAATTCAAAGGCTATTCTGGCCAGCAGCCATTTGGCTTGTGACTTGTTAATCTATCATGCCTCTGAGTCTCTGCTGGCTCTTATGTAAAAAGTGACACTGTGGCTTTCAAACATTTCTAAATTAAAAACCAATAGAACAGTATTTTCAATATTTTTGGCATGAAATTATGTTACATAAAACTGAAGTAGAGCTATCGGAACAAAGAGGGGTGGGTGCTCCGAAGCTGTGACCCGCCCCCATCCCTTTAATTTGCATTATCCTGTGGGGAAGCTTAGATTTCTGTGGACATTCTTAAAAACCACCATTTACGAGAGATGTCTTATAAAAAGATAACAGGCATGGTATATTCTATTGTCTGTATTTTCTCACCTCACATTGTTAAACATGGAAAAGGACAAGTGAATTTACTGCCCATTAAGGTTGGGTATTGGTTTCCTCCATCCTCTTAAACTTAATTTCCATCTAGAGACAAAGTGTACAGAGAAAGGAAGCATGTTTTCTCTAACTGAAAATCTTATTTTGCACTTAAGAAACTGATATTACTTTGGATTTGTATTAAACGTAAATGCAGTTTAGCAGTTTGCCAAACCTTGATATTCCTTTGAACAACATTGAGTTTTCCCTGAAGCTATGTCACTATTCATTACTCAAACTTTGGTGACAACCTTATCAATTAGAGTAGGGCAGTAATGAATGTCATCAAATATTTTACTCATTTTTTCTTGCATATTCTTTGCCAGGAACTGTATCAAGCCATCCAAGTGGAAAAAAAAAAACACTCAACTTCTGAATTCCTATTAAAGAAAGAGTTGGAGTTAATGGGAAAGCAAGAATTGGATAAAAAGGATTTTAAACTAATCTTTTTTTGATTTAGATTTGCCCTTGTTAGAGAAATTACTCCAACCCACCACCAGGCAGGAGGAAACTAATCCTTCAGTGCCCAACACCTTTACGAAAGCTTTTAGGTGTCTGTTTGAAGAGCAGGCCCTCACTCAGTTGTTCTGAACTAGTCCCCTGTTCTGGTGAGCTTTAACTTCTCTCTTGCTATCTCTTACCCAAAAGGAATTTCCCTCAACTGTCATTTATATTGTCTAATGTCCTATGGTCTGTGAAAATGTGGGCGAGACATTAGGCTCCTTCAGAGGCAGGGGAAAAAAATGATCTTGGTTTTATTTTGTTATCATTTCAGAAACCACTGTGCAGAAAGTGAGGGTTTCTTCCTCCAGGGTTGAGGGTACGTATAGCTCAGCAGTAGAGTCCATATTTAACATTTAATAGATATAACCATACAATTATAACCAATCTAAGTAGCTTTGCAGATAATATATTCTATTATCTAAATATAAAATAAGTGAGAACTTAATTTCATTTGGGTGATTTTTTTTTAAATAGTAATCCTTAGCTTAGGTCTAGCCTCTGAATCTCTTCTTTGGAGGCCACATTTTTTTAAAGGACATATTATTCCCATGATTATCCCTCCTGTTTAACTTTAGCATTAGAAATAATATTTTATTTCTTTAGATGTGACAGGTTTCAATAAGGTATAGTTAGAGAACTCAAAGTATGTTGATAAATATTATATGAAGCATATTTAGATTAATATATTGATTTCTGAAATAATCTATGGATAGCAAATGTTGTCCCTTTGTTTTGTTAATGCTTTTTGTGGAAATATGTTTTGCTTACACACATCAAATGGAAGATATAAACACATACACATTCTTCATGGAGGGCACATTATTCCTTATTTATTTATGCTATCTTACATGTAAAATCTCTCTCTCTCTCTCTCTTTTTTGGTTTTGTTTTCTTGCTCCGTGCTCTCTTAATTTTTGTTATTGCTGGATGCTCTCCACCTGCATGTAGAAACTCCTGTTAGAAAGCAAAGGCGTCCAGGGATTTTTTTTTCTTTTTTCTTTTTTCTTTTGGTGATGCTGGGCACTGAACTCAGGGCTTTGCATGTGTGAAGCAAGCGCTCCACCACTGAGCTATGTCAATGAGTGAGATAGGACAGATTTGCTGAGAAATCAGTATTCTGGAAACAAGACTTAATTATTGCTGAACAGAAAATGTTGTCTTGATCTGAGTTTTTCTCTGTACTGTCTTTCCAAGGGATTTCTAAAAATAAATAGAGACCCACTTTCTCATAAAAAAAAAAAAAGAAAGCAAAGGCGTCATCCAATTCTCAGGTTTCTAGCCCCAAGGTGCAGACTCATAGAGTAGTACAGTCGAGCAATGACCCTTCATCAGCTGTCCTTTGACTTCTGCCAGCCTAAACCTATTGCCATTTACTTTGCCATTGGATTACCATTCTAAATACCTCTTTCTAGTTTAGGAAAAAAATCTAATCCAGTAGGATCCTTGTGAATTAAGTGAAGATGTACTTTTGAAAGCACTTCAAGATTACAGCAAAAATTCAGAGAGAAGAATATATGATCTGAATAATAACAACAGAATTTATTAGTCTTTTTATATAGAATTTTAATTTTTTATCACTGAAAATATGATAGGGAAACTGATGCAAAACTCAAGGAAAAAAATATAGTTATATTTAAATGTAGGATGGAGTTCATATACTATTTAATATTTAAGACTGTCTCGTGGCATGTATATAACTAAAAAGTATTGTTGTGATATATGTACTCAGACTGTCCGAATGTCAGGTGTTCAAGTTCTGAACAACTATATTGTCATTTATTCTTTGGTGGAATTAGATACCAATTTGGTGAAGTCTTATATGTATTTCCAATTGTTAGTATTATAAATGGCCCACTATTAAATTAATTAATGTTTTGAATTAATTACTTAATTCATTTGAAATAGGATCTTACTTGCTTTGTGCTTGTGATCTCCTGCTGCAGCATCTGAATAGCTGGGAATACAGTTCTGAGCCAGTACATCCAGCTAGACCCAAACATCTAGACAGACAATAGTTTTATCTCTTGTCAGTTTCATTGAACTTTTTATATCTTTATTCATTGTATAAGTATGGATCCATGGTTTACTTTACTTACTAGATGATAATTTTGTATTATTCTTTGTGGAAAATATATTTCTCTTTGGAAACTTTTATTTTCATAACTTCAAATTTACAGAAAATCTGTAAGAACTGCAAACATAATTCTTCGATAACTGACTGTAATTGTTAATATTTTACTGTATTTTCTTAATCCTGTCTCCCATCACCATTTCTCTTCCTAGAGTAATATCAATGTAGATAAGTAACTAAACACTTTCCCCTGAATCTTTTGTGAGTTGTAGACAGGATGACATTGTACTCCTATATACTGTATTTCCTGAAATCAAGGAATGATAATATTGTAGCATAATTTTTGACAATAAAGAAATTAAAATTGATTCACTATTAAAACCTAATCAGCAAATCTTACTCAGATTTTGCCAATTATCTCATTGATATCCTTTGTAACCGAACAAAATCCAAGATAGGTGATTTTCACAGTGTGAGATTCCTTGTGGTCAGTCTCCTCTAATCTGGCACCCTTCCTGAATCCTCTACTGATGTTCCTAACATTCATGTTTTTGATTATCCTCATTTTTTATATTTTTCTTCATTGGTGTTCATGTGATGTTTCCTCATGATTGAATGCAGGTT